AGGAAACTGTCAGCTCTGCAATAACCATTAAGACATTTCCCTGGTGAACATCGCAGGGAAAAGTTTCGTTCGCATCCTTCTCAACCACCTGAATAATCACCTGGAACAATGTCTTCTGCCGGTAAGCCAGTGTGGCTTCCGTTGTCATCGCGGGACCACGGATATGATCTTCGCCGCCCGTCAACTTCAGGAGAAGTGCCAGGAAATGCGGATCCCCCTGTACTCTACCTTTTTGGAACTGACGAAAGCCTTCGCCAAGGTGAATCGTGAGGGACTGTGGAAAATTATGCAGAACTTCGGCTGTCCTTCAGCGATTCACGCAGATGGTGCGTCAACTTCACGACGGTATGATGGCGCCAGTCACGGACAATCGAGCTGTCACAGGGGCATTCACAGTGACCAAGGGAGTGAAGCAGGGATGCGTTTTGGCGCCTACCCTCTTCAGTCTCATGTCCTCTGCCATGCTGATGGACGCCCACCGTGATGAACGCCCCGGGATCCGCATCGCGTACAGGACGGACGGTCACCTTCTCAATCAACGGCGGATGCACTTCCAGTCGCGCGTCTCCACAACCACCGTTCACGAACTTCTCTTCACCGACGACTGCGCCTCAACACCACCACGGAAGAGGACATGCAACGGAGCATGGACCTGTTCTCCGCCGCATGCGAGAACTTCGGTCTGGTCATCAACACGCAGAAGAGGGTGGTCATGCATCAAACGCCACCCAACACAGCCCCTCCCCTCGACGGGTCGCAAATCAGAGTGAACGGAACCCAACTGCAAGTGGTGGACAGCTTCACATATCTGGGCAGTACCCACTCCCGCAGCACCAAAGTCGACGATTAAGTGGCCCATCGGATCTCCAAGGCTGACCAAGTCTAAGGCCGTTTGCAAAGCGTAGTCTGGAATCGCCACAGTCCCCATCTCAACACCAAACTGAAAATGTACAAGACGGTCATCCTCCCGATGCTGCTGTATGGAGCGGAGACCTGGACGGTGCACAGGAAGCAGGCGCGGAGACTCAGTCACTTTCACCTCAGCTGTCTTCGACGGGTACTGAAGCTGAGATGACAGGGCCGGATACCGGACACGGACGTATTGGAGTAGACGGAAATTTTCAGCATCTACGCCATGCTGAGGCAACTCCACCTCGTACAGGTGGGCGACGAACGGTTACCCAAACGGCTCTTCTATGGAGGTGTTGTTACGGGTTCCTGCCCCAATGAGGCCAAGTCCGTCGCTACAAGGACACTCTGAAGACTTCCCTGAGGTTCGAGGCACCAATCAGCTTTGTAGGACACCTTTGTATCAACCGCATCAGCCGGACTACGCCACTTGCCCTCTCCTTTTCCTACTCTGCCTCATCCTTCACGCCGACGACGAATATTGGCCGCACTCCCGAATCCCCACCACCATCCTCCTCCTCCTCCTCCTCCTCCTCCTCCTCCTCCTCCTCCTCCTTTACTGCCTCAGCATCCGCAATGGCGGCTCCTGTGCCCACCACAGCGTACACAGTTCTCACACCACAAACATCAGCCCCCACCAACGACTTTATCGACGTGGACTCGACCCATGCCTGTCCTCATTGCGACCGCACCTTCACATCACACATCAGCCTGATCGATTACCTGCTAATCCATCGCACAGGACCGGTTGAACCAGTGCTTGGAGTATCCGCATGCACTCGCCGCATTCGCCTCCACTGTCCGCACTGTCCCCGCACATCTCACTCAACGCATGGGTCTATTCGGTCAAATGCCTATCCACGGGAGAGGAATTGACCACAGCCTCGACAAGCCTAGCGTCTCCTACACATCCACCACGCCCAGCCCCACCCTCACTCCGTCGCCCTGTTCGGTTACCACCACCA